TTCGACTGTGAACGGCATCTCCGAAAAAAATTTTACAAGATCCGTGCGTTTTGTCAAACTCGACCCTTTTCAATGCGATAAACGTGGCCTTGCGTAAAGTGTTACAGAAATGGCCCTCGCATTTAAAGGGTTACAGTGACGAGGTTGCACGAAACTTAAAATCCAGAGAGACTGTCTTAAAGTAGAAGTTTCAAGCTTTAATTTGAAAAAAGTGTCATCGTCCTGCGATGATTCTTCGCGGAGTTGTCGTCGGTCGAAGTTGGCCAATTTCGATCCGAAATCGTTCCACGCTATCGTTTCTTTCTATATTTCTTTTTCCCGTTTCCTGCAAATTTTCCACGTTGTGTACGCACCTTTCGCGAAACAGGTGAACCGATTTGTTTAATTTCGCAACCAAGCGACCGCGCGAATTCGCGGGGCATCGCGCTTTCACGGTGAAACGAGCGTGTCGTTTATTATTTGTCGGCCCGTCAATCTCGCGGCGATCGCTTTTCAGCGAGGGAACAGTTTTACAACGACTTTTACGGGCTCATTTGCACACAATGATCGGGATTTACGGGCTTGCTTCATCGTTAAGCGCGGCTCCGAAGAAAGTAATGAGGCGATTTGTTTCTTTATCCCTCGGGGCGATAGACTTTTCCCCCATCGGTCCGTGCACGGATGCTGGAAATATAGAAAAGTATTTCTGTGGACATGCGAATTCTGGCAAACGGACCAATTAAGATTAATTATCAGTAAAATCCTTCTTGGTATGTAGGTCACACATTAATCCATTGCAAAGTGTGTCCAGAAAGTATGTCAAATATTAATTCGTTTAAAAATTTATTCAGAAATTAGATTCGATATATTAATTCGTTTAAAAATTCATTGAGAAATTAGACAAAATATCAATTCCGCTAATAATAATAATTCAGAAGCTAGATTAAATATTAATTTACTTCAAGACTTATATCGCGAGAATAGTTGTCTTATTGCTTGATTCAAGAGTAAACGAAAAAAAGAATCGTGACAATTGTAAGAGCGAAAGTGACGGAATAAAGCGCAAACTACAACGCGAAGCACACAATGCCCACTGAAAGAGCACGACGTGAAAATTGAATCGATTCGGCTCGAGATGATTCACCGCTGCTCGGGCAAGATATTCCAGCGAAGGGGTTAAAACAGTAGCGACGTCGATTAATCGATGACCCAGCTTCGCCGCGGGAGGATTAGCGCGATGAATCGGATTATCGATCGCGCGAGAAAGAAAACAAAAGTGATCGTTGTATTTTAATAAACGCGAACCGGCGAGAACGTTGCGTCGCCCGAAAATCGAAGATTAACGATGTTTAATTAAGAAGAGCATTTAACCCTTTTATAGCGCCGGGCGAAAAAGAGGCGCTTACGCGAATATAACCGGCCGAATTTTACGATTTTACTAGGATTTCGAAAAAGTCGCATAAAAACCAAACGAAAAGCAATATTTACATGATTGAAAAAGCACCGTATCAAGGACAAAATCGAGAATAAAACGGTGACGCTAATTTTTTCTCTCGCAATGAAATTAGACTGTCTGTAACGTATTTATTTATTTATAACGCTACAAGGCGCGGGCCGATATGTCGGCTCTGGCACTTTTCGCCGGTGCAGCGAGGGCCGATGTATCGGCCTCCGACACTAAAAGGGTTAAAGAGCATTTAAACATCGTTTAAAGAGCATTTAAACAGCATTTAAAGAGCATTTAAACATCATTTAACACGTTCCATGCCACGTGTACCATCGATGGTACACGCTTGCATGTTTACTTAGTGAACCGAACAAATTGTTTACAAGAAATTTAGAATCGAAGAATCAATTTCCACCGCAAGATTGGGCGTTGATAAGTTTTTGTTACGTTGTTATGTGTACGAGAATTAATAATTGCACGTAATACATCGAGTTTTAGTAAAATATCAAAGTGTGAAGATTCGAGTAAAAAAAGCTCGGCACGGAACGTGTTAAACATCATTTAAAGAGCATTTAAAAGGAAAAGGAAGACGACGCGCGATCGTTCGGCTATCGCTGCATAAATTTCGTGCGACCCTGAGACGACGATGACGACGACGAAGAAATCGAGAAGCCAGACGTCGCAAGAAGCCGGCCGACGATTTTCTTGAGCGTCGGGAGATGTTTGAAATTCCGATCTCGAATTTGAAAGTTGTCCTTGCCCCGGCGAACCGATTTGTTCGCGCCTCGAGCGATCCGTCAAACGCGTGTATGTCTGGATGGATGGATGTGGATGTATGTATGTATGTATATACGCACCGTAAATCTGGTCGGCTAATTGCGGCCGCGATTACACTCGTTAAGCGAAAACGCGGGGCGTCCGGCGACTTCAAAGCGAAACCACCACCGCCTTTGTTCGCTCGGTGTTTAAGGGAGAATCTTGCGCATCGCCGGTCGACTGCATACTTCGCGCAGTTTATCGCGCGCACAAAACTCAAAAGGTAAATAATACGCGGCCGCTTCTTCGAATCCGCGCCGTTCGTCGAAGTTTATTCATTGTTAAGTCTCAGCTTTTCCGTCGTTCCGGCGGTATCGAAATTACAGCGTGGAGAAATTTTGGGGAAAAATTGGCCAAATTCGACCGTCGATAACTCCGCGAAAAATCATTGCAAGACGGTGGCTTTCCTCTTAAATTGAAGCTTGAAACCTCTACTTTAAAGTAATATATTTGGATTATAAGTTTGATGCACCCTCGTCGCTGCAACCCTTTAAGTACGAGACCGCGTTCGTCGCATCGAAAATGGCGAAGTTCGACGAAACGCGCGGACTTCGCAAAATTTTTTCCGGCGATACCGTTCGCAGTGGAGCGAAGTGCGATTCTTCCTCTTTAATTGAAAAAAACATCGACGCGCCTGCGATTTTTTCCCGCGAAGTTACAGCACTTCGAAGTCACCCTGTTTAACGCATGCCGGAAGCGAGGTCACGTTGAAAATAACGAAGTTTGACGAAACACACGGAGCTCGTCGAATTTTTTCCAGAGATGCCGTTCACGGTGGAACGAAGTTCGATGCTTCCCCTTCAATTTGAAAAAAGAGAAACGTGGCTGCGATTTTTTTTCGCAAAGTTGCAGCACTTCGAAGTCACCCTGTTTAACGCATGTCGGACGCGAGGCCATGTTCGCCACGTTGAAAACGACCAAGTTTGACAAAGTGCACGGAGCTTATGAAATTTTTTTCGGAGATGCCGTTCACAGTGGAACGAAGTTCGATCCTTCCCCTTCAATTTGAAGTAAAGGAGACCTCGCTGCGATTTTTTTTCGCGAAGTTGCAGCGCCTCGAAGCAACCCTTGCAGTTTTGGCACGAGGTCGTAGCTTGCGTTCAGCAGAATCGCTGCGAAGCGCTGCAACTTCGCGACAAAAGAAAAAGAACAAATCACAGCGATCAAAAAACGGGCCGCAGAATCGCGCGCGGATCGTCCGATAACAGATGTAGACGCGGCTTAACGGGGGCGGGTTTCTCGAAAGTGGCTCTCGAGCGGCGCAAAGGGTTGAAAAGAGTGTCGCGCACCGCTCCTCTAAAAATAATCGCCTGGCAAAGAGGTTAACGAACCGGGGGGGAGGGAGGGACGGTTGTGCTTCATTGTCGCGTAATCGCGGGAAAAGTGTGTTGCGACAACGATGCGTAAAATCACGGCGCCGCGAACGGGGAAAAAAGAAGGCGAGCCTAAAGAACAACGACGACGCCGGCGTCAACAACAAGAACAAGAACAAACAAACGAACAAAAAAAACAACAAACAACGGGTGGAGGGGAAGAGAGAGGAGCGAGATACGGAAAGCGGGGAGCGAGCACGGAAGGGAGGGTAAAAGAGAGCGATAGATCTGTCTTTTTCGTTCGCGTTAAGGCCCCGCCGGCGCGGATCCGATAATTAAACCGCCCCGCGATCGTCGGGGACAGCGGCAGCGAAGTTTAATTAGCGAGTAACCGCGGACGAAGAAGTGTGGATGCTTCGGAGAGATAGAGATCGAGAGAGATGGAGTTAGAGAAAGAGGGAGAATAATTTTCTTTTTTTATATATGTGGTATATATAATAATAATATTATATTATTATTATTATATTATTATATTATATTATATTATATTATATTATATTATAATATTATATATATAATAATATATAGTTCCAATTTCTCATTGTTCGAACCAATTGTAATTTCTGCGAGACTCTTTTCGTTGATTGTCCCGAGAGATCGAGAAATAAAGGGACAGCGGGATCAAGAGAGAGAGAGAGAGAGAGAGAGAGAGAGAGAAGGGATGGAGTGAAATCTCGCGAGGTGATATCATCCCAGGCGCCACCGGGATTTCCTCGGGATCGCGGAATCTTTCATTTAGTGGGCCTGGATAGCTAGTCGGGTAGCTATCCGCGGCCGCACACTCTAATACGGCTTTCGGAATAGAGCCGCGTTGCCTCTCTAATTTCGAGATAACCCCGGCGATCCGGCCGCTAACGATCCGCCATTGAACGCGATATTAATCAGCCCCGCCTCGATTCCGACCTCCGCCACCCTCGCGCCCCTCTTGGTATCGATTCTCAGGCTCGATTCTCAAGGTTAGATCCTCGGGCTTTCGATCCCAAGCCGAATCCGATCCACCGCAAGAATTTTAGGCCCATTTCGCGCATTTCCACTCGCAGAAATTTAACAAATCTTCTGGAATTCCGTTACTTCTTTCGAACGTGAATTGTTCGCTCTCGCGCCATCGAATGTTCTTTTGTTCTCTCTCTCTACAATATAATATAATATAATACAATACAATATAATAATAATAATATAGTATAATAATAAATAATAATAATATAATATAGTAATAAATAATAATAATAATATAATATAGTAATAAATAATATAAATAATAATATAGTATAAAATGGGACCAATCGCTAGCAGCGTGAATATACTGTACATTGTTATATATGTGTATATATATATTGTATTATTCCGGCAGCTAATTCGAGATGTGTGTTGCGTTCTGATTTCAGATCCCAGGGTGAAGAGTTGGGCGATGATGAGCAGTCCGTTGCCGACGATGGCGATATGCATGTGTTACGCTTATTTCAGCAAGGTTTTGGGACCGAGGATAATGGAGAACAGAAAACCCTTCACCCTCCGTCGAATCCTAATAGTGTACAATTTCATACAGACGATATTCTCATCATGGATCTTCTACGAGGTTCGTTCAAACCCTGATTTAATTCGAAATTTCATTATTTTTGCGGCCCAGATCGGACCGCAGTTTTAACCGACCTGTTCCCGAGGTCATTCCGAATATCTTTTTCCTCAGCGAAAATGCAAACCGCGGCTTCGTTTACGAGTTATCAACGAAAAACGCACGGACCAATCGAAGAGCGAGCGCGGTCGGCGCTCCGCCCTTGCGGCCAATGCCGCGTCGCGTAGACCGTCCGACGCAGCGGTAGAGATCGCGTGGGCGGGGCGCCGGCCGATCTGGCGTCTCATTGGTCCACCGTTTTTCGGTCATAACTCGTGAACGAAGCGGCGGATTGAATTTTCGCTAAGGAAAAAGTTGCTTCGAATGACCTCAGGAATCCCTCGTTTCACGCTCGTATAATAATTTTGTGACACTCTGTACAATAGAACAGAGCGCGTTCGACTGGTGTTCGCCGCGCTCTCGATACTTTTCGCGAGCGTTCGCTTCGTTACGAACGAGAAAGTCTCGGCGGGAACACGTTCCAGATACGGAATCCGTCTATTGTTCGATTCGCGGTTTATTCGACGCGTTCGCTTCCGTTCACCGCGATAATCAGCCGACAACGGTGTTCCGTTCGTCCGTTTCTTTTCTCCTTTTTCTCCTTTCGAAACTTTCATCTTCGCGGAACGATTTACTAATTATAGTAATTCTTATTATCCGATTTCTGCTCAACGAAATTATAGAACAATATCGGTTGCAAATCGGCCAACTTTGACCGACGACAACTTCGCGGAAAATCATCGCAGCACGACGACTCTTTTTTTACATTAAAGCCTGAAACCTCTACTTTAAGACAGCGCTCCCGGATTTTGAGTTCGACGCACCCTTGCCGCTGCAACCCTTTAAATGCAAGGACCATTTATCATATCGAAAATGGCCAAGTTTGACGAAACGCACGGACTTCGCAAAATTTTTTCTGGAGCCGCCGTTCGCAGTGGAACGAAGTTCGATCCTTCCTCTTTAATTTAAAAAAACAGCGACGCGCCTGCGATTTTTTCCCGCGAAGTTACAGCACTTCGAAGTCACCCCGTTTAACGCAACCTCCGATTTCATGCCAGAAATGCAAGGGTTACTTCGAAGTGTTGTAACTTCGCGAGAAAAAATCGCAGCGAGGTCTCCTTTATTTCAAATTAAAGGGGAAGGATCGAGCTTCGATCGACCGTAAACGGCATCCGCGAGAAAAATTTCGCGAGGTCGGTGCACCGCGCCGAATTCGACACGATTTTNCTTTTCTCCTTTTTCTCCTTTCGAAACTTTCATCTTCGCGGAACGATTTACTAATTATAGTAATTCTTATTATCCGATTTCTGCTCAACGAAATTATAGAACAATATCGGTTGCAAATCGGCCAACTTTGACCGACGACAACTTCGCGGAAAATCATCGCAGCACGACGACTCTTTTTTTACATTAAAGCCTGAAACCTCTACTTTAAGACAGCGCTCCCGGATTTTGAGTTCGACGCACCCTTGCCGCTGCAACCCTTTAAATGCAAGGACCATTTATCATATCGAAAATGGCCAAGTTTGACGAAACGCACGGACTTCGCAAAATTTTTTCTGGAGCCGCCGTTCGCAGTGGAACGAAGTTCGATCCTTCCTCTTTAATTTAAAAAAACAGCGACGCGCCTGCGATTTTTTCCCGCGAAGTTACAGCACTTCGAAGTCACCCCGTTTAACGCAACCTCCGATTTCATGCCAGAAATGCAAGGGTTACTTCGAAGTGTTGTAACTTCGCGAGAAAAAATCGCAGCGAGGTCTCCTTTATTTCAAATTAAAGGGGAAGGATCGAGCTTCGATCGACCGTAAACGGCATCCGCGAGAAAAATTTCGCGAGGTCGGTGCACCGCGCCGAATTCGACACGATTTTCGACACGAAAGTCGAAATAATTCGCGCCGCGATTCCCGAACGGTTTCCCGATGATTCGGCAGCATTCGAGCCGGCAAAGTGAGCGAAAACTCGCGGCGAACGTTTCTTTCTCGGTGCTCAACTTCTTCGAGCAAGTAATTAACGATAAAGTGGCACTGATGAGCACAGTTGCGAAAGAAACGGCGCGGCGCGGCTCGACGCGGCGCGAAGCGTTTCAACGAGGGGTGAACGCACTCCAGGGCAGACGTTCACCCTTCCACGTAAATTGGGTCTATCCGACCCAAAACCAGTCCACGGAGTTCTCATCCTTTCGTTGTCGAACTGTTAGCAGAACCGAAATATTTTTCATATCCTCGAATCAACAGGCCGAGTCTCGTAACGCGGCATCAAAGGGCCGAGGAAAAATCGATTTTTGAAACAGTAATTAGACTGTAAATATTTTTATCTTCGCGTGAAGTATATAGAATTTGACGAATAAATATCTTCTTCTGTAATATTAGTTCAATATCGAAACTGGACGAAGTTTAAAGGAAAACGCATTTAAAGTTTTATTTTCCCTAATAATAATTTGGTTTTCGAGAACGATGAGATATTATTTCCACTAAAAACGTTTTCTCTTTTTTTATTCGCCGATCTTTTTATCCGCTGATATTTTAATTCAACGATACTTTTATTTGCCGATATTTTTGTTCTCCAATTCTTTTCGCCGCTTATAATTTAATTCCGCGATATTTTCATCCGCTGATCTTTTTATCGGCTGATATTTTCACTCGCAATAATGTTTCCGTATAATTGAAACGTCGGAAAATGTGAAGGAAAAACAAATCGGGAACCACAGCGATTTTTCGACCGCGTTTCGGCGATTTCCGGCGTTCGAACGATCGCGATTTGCATCGCGATTTCTCTATCGACGACACAGAAAAAAAAAGGGAAAAGAAGGCTCGTAAGTCGCTGTCAAAATCGGGCGACGAGATAATCCCATTCCGACGTGTATCATCGATCCCGTCCAGAATAATTGATGGCCGGCCTCGGCCGGTCTGCGCCGACTTCTCCTCTCCGTCCCTTATTCGTGAAAGTTATTGCCTGCCGGCCACCGAGCCGACGATTCGTGGGTTGCATAAGACGCAGACCTCGGTGTGGTTGTGCCAGTCAATGGAATTCGTCGCGCGGACACGAAATCCTCTCGCGATCCCGACCCGACCGAGAAACTGCTATCCCGCGAATACTGGGTCACTCTCCCGAAAGTCTTCCTTCACATCCGACGCCGCAGAGTTTCACGATCTTCTCTCTATCCCCCCGCTTTTTTCTCTCCTTGTCTTCTTTTTTGCTCGCCGATATTTTAATTCGACGATTCTCTCGTTCGCCGATATTTTTACTGGTCGATTCTTTTTCATTTTTGATATTTTTATTCGCCAATTTTTCCATCCGCTGATATTTTTTAATTCGACGATTTGTTTACTCCCTGATTTCTTTATTCTCCAATCTTTTTATCCGCCGATGATATTTTCATTCGACGAATATTTGTACTCGTCGATTCTCTTCTTGTCCGCCGACATTTTTATCCGCCGACACTTTTACTCCGCAATCTTTTTATCCGCCGATGATATTTTTTCATTCAGCGATTTTTTCATTCGCCGATATTTTTATTCGCCGACCTTTTCATTCGTCAATCTTTTTATCCGCTGATATTTTTTAATTCAACGATTCTTTCATACGCCGATGTTTTCGTTCGCCGACATTTTCATTCGACAATCTTTTTATCCGCTGATATTTCAATTCGACGATCTTTTTACTCGCCGATGCTCTTGTTCGCCGATCTTTTTATCCGCTGATATCTTAATTCAACGATTCTTTTATTCGTTGATATTTCAACTCAACGATTCCTTTATTCGTCGATTCTTTTTATCCGACGATATTTTTATTCGCCGATTTCCCGCTATCGCCCCGACTTTAATCGGTTCAAAATTAACGCGTCGACATCTCCAGTTCCCTTTTTATTCTTTTCATTATCCAATGTTCTCCCAAATGCATCAAATCCGCGGTCCACCGATCGTCGGTCGAACGAACGAAAGTGACGGTATCCCGGCTAACCACAGTAATTGGGACCCTTGCCCTATAAACAGTCTCGCCACTTACAGTATGCAGACAGTATAAAATTACAAGATTCGCTATACCGATCGAGCTCTCTTGCATAATCCATTGTAATTCGATCCTAACAAACTTTTACTAGAGAAAGGGAAAATTCCTGCTCTCTCTCTCTCGTTTTTTCTTTAACACTTTATCGACCGCTAGCCTATTTATCGGCTTTTCGATTGCCAATGTTTATCGATCGCTAGCCTATTAATCGGCTTTTCGATTGCCAATGCTTATCGACCGATAGCCTATTAATCGACTTTTAGCTATCGACGGTTTTCGCTTCTTTACTGTTTTGTTAGTAGCTGACCTCCTGTATGCTGACCTCCCCATATCCTTATGAATTATAATTATTGTTGGGATTATGGAATGAAAATGAATATGATTCTAATACTTTGCTTAAAAGGACTTTATTTTATTCTCTTAATGAGAGAAGGTATATGAGCGAAACCGATCGAGCGATCAAACTCTACTAAGTGTCCGGTAAGAAGAAACGCTTCTTTTATACCCTTTTTGGGTTCGTCGTGTCCACCAATCAGAGACGTTTTATTTGTCGCGTCTTACATTGTATACGTGACGGTCAGGGCACGATGTACATCAAAAGGTACCGGCGATGATGTATCGCGGCATCTAATATATACAGATTCCGTCACCGTCGCTGCCCGCTGACGGAGCCGGCGAAATGTAAACCGATATCTTAACTGAAGATATCTTACTAAGTAAGATAATTATAATAATTATAATAATTATAATAATTATAATAATATATAATAATAATATATTATATATTATATATAATATAATTATAATAATAATTATTATATAATAATTATAATAATTATATTATTATTTATTATTATTTTTAAAGGAATAAGCACAACACAATGAATAGCGAAAATTTAGCCGGTACTGGGAGCAAATGCGCGCGCGACTAAGCCAGTCCTTACTGAGTGGCAGCCTCA